TAAAACGGATTGATTAATTGGGTAAGGAAAAGACTAAACTACCCTTTCAAATCCCGATTTAGACTTTCCCTTAATTGAACATCCCAACTTCAAATAGGGCATATCTCACTCATACGATATCGGAATCGCGCAAACTCGGCGGCGTTGAAAAGATTATTCCAAGATATTTCGTACGATATCTAAAAATACGCCTAACTCATTATGAGATAGGAGTTATGGTCGTTTGAAGTTCCCTAAAAACTCATCCCTTAACTTAATTTAAACAAATTTCCAGATTTCCATCATTTTCCTAAAATCACTATTTCCCAATTCTTGACTTCTTCCTAGTTATTTCAATTTGCGAGATGTTACAATATCTCCCCCTTGGGAACATTTGTCCTTGAATGAGATTACTCTTACTAGGCTAAGGGTGTAACATCTAAACATTCATCTCTAACACCCAACAAGCAATGCAATTACCACATGCCAATCTCAAAAAAAATAAAGAGAACTAAGAAGAGAATTATTACCTTGATCTGGAATTTCTGTGGTTTCAAAGAGATGAGGATATATCTTCTTCAGCTTTCCCAAGTAGCTTCCTCAACAAACTGGTTCTTCCAAAGAACTTTGACTGATGCTACCTCTTTTGTTCTCAGCTTGCGAACTTGGCGATCTAAACTCTGAACATGAATCTCCTCATAGGATACGCTATCCTTGATCCCAATATCTTCAGTTGGTATGATAAGTGAATGATCTCCCATGCACTTCTTCAACATGGAAACATGAAATACCAGATGAACCGCTGCTAACTTTTGTGGTAGCTCTAACTCATAAGCTATTTTGCCAATCCTCTTGGATATTCTGTAAGGGCTAATATACCGGGGACTAAGCTTCCCCTTCTTACCAAATCTCATAACACCCTTCATGGGTGAAACTTTCAAGTATACCCAATCATCTACTTTAAACTCTAACCCCTTCTCCTAACATTAGTGTAGGATTTCCGACGACTCTACGTCGTCTTCAATCTCTATTGAATCACTTTCACCTTCTCCATAACTTGATGAATTAAATATGGTCCTATCAACTCAACTTCACCAACTTCAAACCATCCAATAGGAGATCTGCATCTTCTCCCATAAAGAGCCTCATAAGGAGCCATCTGGATGTTGGAGTGGTAACTATTGTTGTAAGAAAACTCAATAAGAGGCAGGTGATAATCCCAATTACCTTTGAAATCACTCACACAAGCCCTGATCATATCCTCTAAGGTCTGAATAGTGCGCTCTGCTTGACCATTTGTCTGAGGATGAAAAGTAGTACTCAAGTTCACCTTTGAACCCAAGCCTTTCTGGAATGACTTCCAAAACTGTGCAGTAAATTGTGCACCCCTATATGATATAATTGAAACAGGGACTCCATGAATTCTTACCACTTCTTGAATATATAACCTGGCATAATCTTTTGCTGTATGGGTAGTCTTTACCGGCAAAAAGTAGGCTGATTTGGTCACTGGATCAACAATCACTCATATAGATTCATGTTGCCTGTGAGACCTTGGCAAACCTGTGATGAAGTCCATATTAATCATCTCCCACTTTTCATTCCGGAAGTTCTATATTTTTGAGCGAAACCATTGGGCCTTTGATGTTCTACTTTAACTTGTTTGCAATTCGGGCACCTAGCAACAAACTCGGCAATGCCCTTCTTCATACTACTCTTACCAATAAACCTTTCTCAAATCACGATACATTTTTGTGGAACCCAGATGAATGGAAATATCTGGAGCTATGAGCTTCCTCCATGATTCTCGCTTGGAGTTCATCCACCCTTGGTACACACAATCTACCTCGATATCTCAAAACGCCGTCTCCCATTTGTTTCAAAAGCTAGTACTTTTTGCTTATGAACATTTGTCTTCAATTCAAGCAAAAATAGGATCTTGGTCTTGCCTTTTATGTAACTTCAGACACTAATTATGATTCAGCCCCATTCATCACCACTACTCCTCCTTCTGTGGAATCCATTAGTCGGACCCCCAATCGTGCAAGGTCTATGCACATCTTTCGCTAGCTCTCTCTTTTCTTCCTCAACATGGGTGGTACTACCCATAGACAACATGCTCAAAGCATCAGCAACAACATTAGCCTTATCTGGGTGATAAAGAATACTCATGTCATAATCCTTGAGTAATACTAACCACCGCCTCTGTCTGAGATTAAGCTTTTTTTTGAGTAACCACTTACTAAAGGCTCTTGTGATCAGTGAATACATCTACATGAACACCATATAAATAATGACGCTATTTCTTCAAAGGCAAATACTACAACAACCAATTCTAAGTCATGGGTTGGGTAGTTTTTTCTCATGAACTTTCAACTGTCTGGAGGCATAAGCTATAACTTTGCCATTCTGCATTAACACGCAACCCAAACCAACTCTAGATGCATCACAGTACACCACAAAACCTTGAGTTCCTTCTGGTAAGGTCAAAACTGGGGCAGTAGTCAACCTCTTTTTCAATTCCTGAAAATTTTTCTCACAAGCTTCAGACCATTGAAACTTCATTGTTTTCTGAGTTAACTTGGTCAAAGGAGACGAAATTGACGAGAACTTCTCTACGAACCTTCTATAATATCCAGCCAAACCCAAGAAACTCCTAATATCAGTTGGAGATATGGGTCTAGGCCAATTCTGCACTGCCTCTATCTTTGGATATCAACTCTAATTCTATCACCGGAAAACTATGTGGCCCAAAAACGCAACAGACTCAAGCCAAAACTCACATTTAGAGAACTTAACATATAACTTCTTATCTTTCAAAGTTTGAAGAACTATTCTGAGAGGGCTAGCATGCTCTTATTTATTCCTTGAATAGATTAGTATGTCATCAATGAAGACGATAACAAACATATCTAAATAAGGTTTGAAAACTCTATTCATAAGGTCCATGAACGCTGCAGGTGCATTGGTCAAACCGAACAACATGACCAGAAACTCATAGTGACCATAACGGGTCTTGAATGTGGTTTTGGGAATATCACATTCCCTTACTTTCAACTGATGGTAGCCAGATCTGAGGTTTATCTTAGAAACACAAGAAGCACCCTGAAACTGATCAAAAAGATTATCAATTATCGGAAGAGGATACTTGTTCTTGATGGTAACCTTGTTCAATTGGCGATAATCTATACACATTCTAAGGGAACCATCCTTCTTCCTCACAAATAAGACCGGAGCGCCCCAAGGAGAGACACTTTGTCGAATAAACCCTTTCACCAAAAGATCTTTCAACTGTTCTTTTAACTCTTTCAACTATGCTAGTGCCATTCTATACGGCAAAATAGACATATGACGAGTATCTGGAAGAACATCTATACCGAAGTCTATCTCTCTCTTAGGAGGGACTCCGGGTAGATCATCTGGAAAAACTTCTGGAAACTCTTTTACTATAGGAACTGACTGAATATGAGGTATCTCAACACTTGAGTCATTAACTCAGACCAAGTGATAGATACACCCCTTGGAAACTGACTTTCTTGCCTTAAGGTATGAAATGAAACGACCCTTAGGAACTACTGAACTACTTTTCCACTCTAAGACTGGCTCTTTAGGAATTTGGAACTTGACAACTCGAGTTCTACAATCAATGGAGGCATAACAGGCATAAGCCAGTCCATACCTAGGAAGACATCAAAATCTACCATGTCTAACTCAATTAAATCAGCCATGGTGTCTTTGTGATTGATGGAAATGACACAATCACGATATACTTGCTCAGCTAGAATAGACCCCCCAACAGGTGTAGAAACACAAAAGGGTTCACAGAGTTTCTCAGGAATAACATCAAACTTATTTGCAACATAAGATTACAAAAGATAAACTTGCTCCTGGGTCTGCAAAGCATAAACATCAAAAGTAAAGACTTTGATCATACCAGCGACAACATCTGGAGAGTTCTCTTGCTCATGACGACTAGTGATTGCATAGAGGCAGTTTGCTCCTCCGTCAGTTCCAGATGTAGCTCCTCTAGGTGTAGCCCTGTCTGGTGGTGCAACTGATGAATATTGGGCTCTATTACCCTAATTTCCACTACCTTGCCTGTTCTTAGGGCACTCTTTCATGAAGTGACCCTCTTGTCCACACTTGAAACAACCTGATTGGCCATCACGACACTTACCTGGATGGGTTCTACCACACCTAGCACATGCAGAAGCCCAGTTAGCTCCTAGTGCCACACTACCCTGATATTGCAGGTCTAGCTCTGAAGATCTGACCATTATACTCACCTTTGTTTCTGGGTGCAGGTGCACTAGCAGATGATGGAGCAGGTCCCTTTTGCTTCTGCTGAAAAGACGAACGGTTCACATTACCTTTCTGCTGCCGACTCACTCCCTGTCTTATCTTTCTTATTTCTAAATTCCTTTCTATCCCTCAGCTTCTCTTCCTCAACCTGCTGCACATCGGCCATCAACCTTTATATTTATGTCCCCAATTAGCATCACTACCCTGCCCTCCTTGCTTGATAGACGGCACAACCCAGCAACAAATAGACTCATTCTACTCCTCAAATCCGTAACCATCTCTGGAGCATAAGGGGATAGTTGGGTGAAATTCAACCCATACTCATGAACACTCAAGGAATCCTTCTTAAGGGTAAGAAATTCTCGTACCTTAGCTTATTTCAGTTCTCGGGGAAAGAAATTCCCCAAGAAGGCCTCCTCAAAACATGCCCAACGCAGGTGGTGCACCCTCAACTCTACCCTCTTTCCACTGGTCAAACCAAGGCCTAGCAACATTTTTCAGTTGATATGCAGCAGTTCAACTCTCTCAGTATCGGCAACATACATAACCTCGAATACCTTTTCAGTTCCTCAACAAAACTCTCTGGATCCTCTATGGTGCTTGAACCTATGAAACTTGGAGGATCCATCCTCAAGAGCTCTCGGATCCTTGAAGTACCAGTCACTTTCTGGCTAACTCCTCTTTGTTGCTCAGCTTGGTTGGTCACAACTTGGCTCAACACCCGGATAGCCTCACGGAACTCAGCATTGGTAACTTCCCCTTGAGATTGCACTTCAGATGCATTTGGTAACTCTGGCTCCTCAACATTACGCCTAGCAGGATGACCTCTGACAACTCTTTGTGGAGGCATGATTATCTAAAAACATGCGCAAGCACGAATTAGAAAGAAACTTTTTAGAGATCAAACTCTAACGTACGAAATGAGTGTGAAAGAAGTGAGAAATTTTCCTAAGTGTTACAGCCTCCTAATTATAGATGTGGCACTCTTCACACCGATAACCAACACTCTACAAACATGGCTTCATAGACTCCCTAGGACTCTTGAACTCTGAGCTCTGATAACAAGTTTGTCACCCCCCAAGCCTACACCCTGGATGAGGCAGGCACTCGAGAACCATTGTTGGCCCTAATCGAACCCTTGGCCTGACTTACTTACTCAGCGGAAGACTACGCATATTTATAATGATCAATAACACTATACTCACTTGAATAATAAAATACTGGGAATACTTAAAAAGTCAAATATTCAACTTGGCCAAAATGGCAACTCAAGTCTTAACATATGAAATGAAAATGTAAAGACAACTGAACTACTAATTGTCTAACTGTCATGAATCCTCTAAAACAAAGAGGGATGTTGGGACAAGACCCCTGATCATCCTAACAATAAAATACTGAAAGAAAAGAAAAAGAAGTCCTCCAGAATGCAAGGAGGCTCACCAACTGACTCTGAGTGCTCAACGGGATCAACGAGGCGTTGGATGTTGATCCTGGTTACCTGCGTCTACATCATAATAAGATGCATACCAAATGGCATCAGTACATTGAATGTACGAGTATGCGAGTTTGAATGCTAAACATAACTTAAGTTTGAAAATAATCTGAAAGAAACACTTACATTGGCTTTACTCAACTCCTGAATAACTTAACTCAATATAAAGCAATAAACATATGCAATATATAGAAAGCTTGTAAAACAGTGGAAAACAACTTAGTTTGTTAAAGAAAATGCAACAACAAACTCAACTTTACTCATATAATAAAGTATTATAGTTTATGTGGGAGATTCTCTAACCGAAAACCACCACTATGAGCCTAAGTGGTCATACAACGTCTTGCCCACGCGGTCAGAACTGCCCTATACTTTGACATCATATAGAACGCTTAACTAGGTGGATCCACTAGTCTATGCTAAAAGCATCTTAAAGAATCATCTAAAAGTATGATCCTTTACTACCCATGATAGAAACATGGTTTATGGAGACTTGAGTTAATATGAACTCACATCCCCATATCGGTGCTCAATACCACTCCTAAAATACATAGCTCAATGATTTAAAATCAAAACTTCTTTCTTTGGTTTGAAATAATTACTCAAAACTTTACCTTAAAAGCTCTCTTGGGAATCGGTGTTTCCCTTTCTAGTTCAAATATGAAAACATTTTAAACTCTTGGGAATACTTAGTTCCCTTATAGATTTTTGAGAAATGAACTCAACTCTTTACTCTTAACTTAACTTGAAACTTAAGTTTTAAAACAAAGTTAAAATGTTTGTGTAAGACTTTTGAAAACTTTAAAAACTTCTCTTAACTTGACTCCTAACTTCACTTGACTTGACTCTTAACTTTACTTGACTTTACTTTTAACTTTTCTTGAATTGAATTATGGATACAAGGATTGTGATTTGTGATAGGAAAGATCTCATGATGTTTAGGAGTGTTTGTAGATAGCTAAACATGAGAAAATATCAAGAAATCAGCGTCTTGGAACATGTCCGCGACGCAGAGTTTTATTTAAATATTTGATCGCGAAATTTAAATTTGAGACAGAGGAGTCCGCGTCCCAACCGCGACACGGAGCTAGTTTTTGTTCACTGGGAGAGCAAGTGCGTGCCAAAACCCGCTCGACTTTTCCCTTCTTCGTTTTCTAGCCAAATTCACCTAAACTCGACTTTTTTTCTCAAATTCTTCTAAGATTACGATACCCAGCACATGTACCCAAGAACCTAACTCAAAGAAACTCTAAAACTCAACGTAAAGATCTCAGAAACATCTCAATTCAGCCTTATTCAAGAACAATATCAAATTCAAGAATATAAATCAAGAACATACTCTTTCAAACTCTTTTAGGATGAATTCACATTGAATTAAACATGTTTGGCACGTGGGTGAATAAACCCAATGTTATGAAAGCCTGGCATACCTTGTATGATCAAATCCTTGAAGAACCCTGAAATCAATTTCTTACGAAGCGATGAATCTTGCTCTTCCTCTTCTCTTTTCTCTTCTTTTCTCTTCTCTCAAAGCCCTAGCGTATTTCTTAAGTTTGTAAACTGAACTAACTCAGTCTAGACCCCAAATATTTTACTAAAATGGATTGAATTAATTGGGTAAGGAAAAGACTAAACTACCCTTTCAAAATCCGGTTTAGACTTTCCTTAATTGAACATCCCAACTTCAAATAGGCATATCTCACTCATACGAACTCAGAATCGCGCAAACTCGGCGGCGTTGAAAAGATTATTCCAAAATCTTTATTATTATATCTGGAAACACGCCTAAATCATTATGAGCTAGGAGTTATGGTCGTTTGAAGTTATCCAAAACTCATCCTTAAATTAACTTGAACAACTTTCCAGATTTCCATCATTTCCTAAAATCACAATTTCCAATTCTTGACTTCTTCCTAGTTATTTCAATTTGCGAGATGTTACATTTAAATGGCCTAAGAAATACGGAGTTCCCATAAACTCCAAAGGTTTAAATAATTAACTAACCAAACAAATACGGAAGAACAACCCCTAGAACCTGAAAGTCATTGTACCGAAACTCTACTAACGACAAGTCTAAGAACAAGGGGTACAACCCGAAACTAAAAAAAACACCTTAAATAAATAGTCTGAGTCCGAAAAGAGTGGACTTAAACAAGAAAGATCCATGGCAGCCTGAAAGAACTGACTCACCCTTGAATCCGGTCACGCTCAATAGTCACCTAGCTGAGGTCTATCAATAGCCGCCTGAAGATCCTCTGTACTCAACAAAGAAAAAGAAAGTACAGTATCAGTACACAACCACTATATACTGGTAGGATCACGCGGCTACCTCAATAAGAGAAACACATGCAAGTAACCACAACCTTATAAAACAGGCATATACCGAACATATACAATATTAGTCATCTTTTCAGGATCAATGTAGCATTCCACGTTCTCAATAATACACATTTGTTATCTTCTTAGAGCAACAAACAATCTTCCAACCTCAATCACCATTAGCTATGAACATAATCAACACAAGTAGATACACAACACAATTCAATGGTCCTCTCACAGAACCCAATTCAATAGTCTTTCTCATGGAACCCAAACCCAAACTATTAGTGTATCGATTTGTGGTACCCGATCTAATGTTTATGCCGAAACGTGACAACCAATCCCATACTAATGCCGGAACGTGGCAACTGATCCCATATTTATATCGGAACGTGGGAACCAATCCAAGTAGGTGTGTCGGAACGTAACACCCGATCCATTCAACAAACCACAATCACAATGACAATGTATATTCTCACAATCATACAACAAAGGTGATTCATGGCATACAATTATTCAATTATCCTCATTTACGAAGGTGATCAATAATACAACATTCGCATACATACACGTATTATAATGAAGCAAGAACAAACATATATCACACAATCATGAAATCACAACCATCACCTACCTCGAATCCAAGCTTGAATCCCTAAGGCACTTGAATCTTCCCTTTCTAGATTCATCCGCTTGTTCGTGGTCTAAAAACATACAATTAATGCAAGGAACAATAAACGGGGCCTACTTACCCAGATTATAATAACATTATTAACCCTAGGCCAAACCTTTGATCCCCATACCCAGATTAGGGCTTTTCCCACTATCCAAACAGTTCCAAAACCCTTCCCCCACAATAATCACCCAAGAAACCAAGTTCTACGGATCAAAAAAATGGATTCAGGGAGTGAAAACTTTACCTTTAGCCTCAAGAATGGTGGAAACTTTCAAGAAAACCTCTGGGGTCGTTCCTTAGCTCTCAAAGTCGAAAGTTGCAGAATAAAACATTTTTAGGGTTTATTTTTTACTTAAATCGCGATTGTCCCGCCACAACGATCCTCACCCCGCTATAGCGACCCTGCCCTGGCGGGAATAATCCCGCCCTAACGGCTTTCACGAAAATAAAAAGCTAAATTAAGAGTTTCAAACCCCCATTTCACAACACACCTTCATCCCATGACACTCAGAAAATACATGTTCACGCTATCAATTTCAGGAGTTCTACTCACCCGAATTCAATTACGTAAAGTCATACGGGTTCCTTAACGTATTAACAATCTAGTCATGTGATCAAAATAATAATTAGATCTCTTATTTTACCAGATTTCCCTAGACCTCATTGACTCCGATTTCGTCCAAATCTGGACTTTGCTAGGAAATCTCAAGTTACTACTCAAAATTTTTTTGGTCCAATTCTTTCTCCATTGGCTTTTCCCTAACGACTGAATCAACTCGTTACAATAGATACCAATTTACCCATCACTTGTCTTCGAGTGACAAACTAGGAGAAAAGGGCTAAAGCAAGAATAAAGTAGTATTTGAATCGTCGAATAACTGGAGATACTTGTCCCGCATACTTTTTCTGTCGACTCTGGGCTGCTAGAAGCTTAGCTTGGATACTTCTCACCTTATCCTGAGCATCCTTCACCAAAACAACCCCCAATGATTTTACATCTCTAGTCTTAAACCGTCCTATGGTGATCTATATATCCTTCCTTACAATGCCTCAATGAAGTGATCTCAATACTCGAGTGATAAATATTGTTGTATGTTAACTTAACTAACAACAAAAGCTATTTTCAATAATTACCAAAGTTGATCGTATACACGTCTGGAACATGTTATCAATGACCTTGACACAATCGTCCGGACGAATCCTTTAGCACTTAAGCAAGATAAAATTCTGAATCAATAATCGCTACAATTAGAAGTGAACCTGAACCAACCAACACATTCATAATACTCAACCAATCATAGTTCTTATCAACATCTCCTTCTCACAACATAAATTTTCATGAGCTTAAGTTACAAAATTTGAT